TTCTTTAATATTAATGAAAACAATCTGGCATATTTAGGGAACTGAAATCTCTGAGTGTGTGTAATTTAGTGCAGCTTGATTGAATTTAGTGGGACTGTTGGGCCTTGGTGGAGTTATTCGCTCTACTGAATAACATTCTACTTCAATCCTCATAAAGGGACAATTTGTGGTTTTATTAGGGAATGTGTCTGATTATAATCTTTTTTTAAGCTAACAGGCTGCAGCTTCAAAATTGTTGCAAAGAAATCGTGGTATTGATCTAATTCTCAGCAAGAAAGAAAATAAGTGTATTTAACATAATGCTGAATAGTTCATTTAATACAGTCTTGCAGTTGGAGCATGTCATGGTCCAAGTACTTACTTTTACATCCAGGTGGGCTATCCTGCAGTTGTGCAGGTAGTGTAAAGCTTCTAAAATGTCCCGAAGGTAGCGGGATACTTTCTCCTCCGTCAGATTCCCCCAGCTCACTATGTAGTCCAGCAGACGACCTTGGTCAGCCCTGAAACACACACATAGTACAGCATCGAATGAAAGATCATCATCAAAACGTACCCACGGTGACTTGTAAGGTCGTGACAGAGTGAACGCAAACTAACTGTTAAAACGAAGTGATGCAGGATGCTCTGCAGAGTGAAGGGCTGGGATAAGTATCAGACTCCATGTACCACTGTTAAGTTTTTAATTTGCTCCTTTTCCTTTAAATATTATGTCTTTTAATGTCTATGTACTGTTTTTATTTTCTCTCTGCTTACGATGACCTGTGGAGGTTGTTCAGCTGCCCCATCCACATTGGCAGTTACCATAGCAACCAAGGTCGAGCACAGACCCTTAGTTTCTGTGATTAGTCATAACATTAAGCACTCAATGTCATGACCCAGATACATCTTCTCTGAGAAAGACAAATGTTTGAGCAAGCAGACATTATTTGGAGAAAGTGGCTTCACATTAGAAACATAAATGGCCTCTTTATTACCTCAAAGGAAATAATAAGACTTGTTACAGGGTGAGGTGCATAAAGCTTAGTGGACTCTCTGCTTCTCCATATAGTAGTCCATACTATTTCCTCTGTTTGTATGTTTTTAAGTATTCTTCTGTGTCCTTTAGTATCTGTGCTTTCACTCTTGCATGTGCGCTGTTCTGAGAGACCATTATTCTCATCAAGTTAATGAGCTACACATTTTTTTTTCTTTTTCTTGACTGTACTCACATCTCCAGGACCAGCACGTAGCTGCTGGGGGTTTCATACGTGTCTATCAGACTGACTATGTGGGGGTGCTGGAGCCTCTGGAGCAGATTGAGTTCCTGAGTCACCCGATCCCTCCTCATTAATTTCTTGTTCACTTGTTTCACCGCCACCGTACGTTTGGTTCCCTGATGGTCACAACGCTTGACAACGGAGAAACGACCCCTGGTGGTGAGAAACAGAGGATGGGACATTCAGTAGTCAGGCAGTGTGCATCACACAGTAGCTCTGCTTGTCATGTTAATATCAAAGACTAAATGTTTTTTTCCCCCTTGTCTTTATTCAAGCGTGTGGTTTCAAAGTCTCTGCTCACACTCAAATACTCCCTGCTTGTGCTACAGCTTCAGCTCATTTCACTCTGGGATTTCTCCTCTGCTCTCTGACTTTTTTGTGCAACAAGCCTGTCAAAATTATCCAACCAATAGAAAGCCAGGTGTAGTGTAGACAAGAGAAAAGGTCTGTAATTTAAGGGAACAGCACTTAATGCAAGAAACCAAAACAAGGGTTAGGCATATCATTCGTCATCTGGCATTCCATTGGCTGGGTCATTTTGACAGACTTGTTTCACAAGAACAGATTTTTTTGCACACTCAGAAGCAGCATGAGGAGAGCTGAAGCTGGAGCACTGGAAATAAAAGCACAAGCAGAGTATAATTAAGTGTGAGAGCAGGGTTTTAAGTGAAAGCATTACACAATCTGAAAGTTAAATCAATCAGATAGGACGCTTTCTCATAAAAGTTGTGTGCTCCATTTTTAAGAAAATCCTTGCTTATTTGAAAACAATATTTGAAATACAGTAGATATTACCTTCCCAGTTCAACCACTTCAGTGTAGTGAGACTCAAAGTTGTCCTTCCAGCTCACTCTGATCCCATCAGTGGACACAGCTGAGACAAACACCACAATCCATCAATTCATGTCTGTCTGTAGCAGCAACATCATCACATCTCAAAGGCAGAACTGAATCTGTGCTCTTACCTAACACTCTGAGGCTGGCGGCGGATGTCACACTGCCCAGCTCATTTGTGGCAACACAAGTGTAAACGCCATCATCGTCAGAGGCTACACCAATAATCCTCAGTGTAGCTTCACCCGTATCACTGAAAGAAACACACACGTTCATCTACGTCTGATTTTCAACAAACAGCATCCAAAAGAAAATCTACTCTGCAGTGTGATGGAGCTTTGTCAAAACGAGATGGTGGTTTCTTACCTGTAGGTGATGCTGAAGTGTCCATTGTTGGTGAGGTTGCTCTGGTTGGGTCCCTTCCAGGTGACAGCGGCCCGGGGTCGACCACAGACCTTGCACCTAAGGGTGACGCTCTCACCACTGTCGCAGGTCACATCACTAAGAGGTACAAGGAACTCCGGGGGAACTGAAGGAGGGAAAAAATATGTGAGTTAAAATCCTGTCAAATGCTGAGATGATTTTTCAGAATTTAACTGTTAAAAGCGCCTTTGATACTATTACATTTATTTTATGTTTGAATGAACAGACACACAAAGTTCACACTTACCATCATAGATGTAGTTTGGATTTAGAAGCTGAAAAGAGAAAACAAAGCATGAGCGACACTGTGGAGCAAGAAGCATGATGTGAAAGCAGTACCAGATAAACTCACCTTTACAGAAACCTTATTGGCCAGGCCATCTCTGGACTTCCTGTAACCGTTTTCCAGCTTGGTCTCTTTCTTTGTCTCCTTCTTCTCAGATTTTTTACGAATGCGCAGGGACGTGTGCCACGATGAAGACTTCCTGCTGGAACAACAGAGGACTCAAGTCAGATCAAAAGGTTCAGTTTAACAAGTAGGTTAATGACAGAATACTGTCGGACACATTGTAACTGTACAGCCTTCAAACCTATAATACACCAACGATCAGGATTTGGATCAACCAGATGGTCTTTGACCAAATCAAAATGAACCATGGCTTGGTTTGTTTGCAATGTGAAACTGTTTTTTGGGGACATTTTGGACATTCTGACAAATTGCAGGAAGTTGAGACACCTTATTATATGCTGTTGGTGACAGCGAAATTAAAATGAACAGGTTCATTCATTTTCTCCATCCTCAGACTCCTTTTTTAATGCACTTTATTGAAAAAGGTTGGTGGATAAAAAATTGACAACATGCCCACGCCCGACACACGCTCATCTACAAACTAGTCAATGTCAAGGTTATGTAGACAGACGCAGTCCACATACGTGATGACAACAGGACATATGTCTCTAGTCTTTAGTCTGCTCTGTAAATTGCAATGAAACCAAAACTAACCAGATTGAATGCTAACAAAATAACAGAGACATGAACCTTGGTTCAGACCTTAGTCTGGACTTTCAGGTGTGAAAATGCTCTAGATAAAGATAAAGCTGAGACTATAAAAATAATGATAACTTAAATTTTGTTCTGATCTCTTACTTGATGGATCCCTCGGGACAATCAGGGACGATGGCCGAGGTGTGTCCCAGCACAAATCCGGGGATCCAGCCCTCGGCAGCGGGGCCTTGCTCGGTGGCCGCCCTGAACACCAAAAACATGTTTTGCTGGTTGCTGGCCAAGATCTGGACGACCTCGCTCTGAATGACGCTGATCTCATCCTCCTTCACAGCCATGTAGTCCTGGGTCACCAACATGGTGGATACGCTACTGCTGCTGCTACTTTCACTCTGCACCACAGGATGGAAACATGGGAAACAGTCAGTATCAATTAATATTGTTCAATACAGGTAAATCTTTTCCAGGTTTATGATAACATCAGATATTTTCAAACTGTGGAATGAAATTCAAGACAAACATTAAACTAGTTTTGGTGAGATAAAGTGAGAAAAATAGAAACAAGATAAAAGTGGAAAAACAAAGAGGATTTAATAGTTTAGTAGCCACTGAAAACAGTCTTCAGAAAGGATTAGATGGAAGCGCAAGAAAGATAAAACAGTGATCAAAATTTTCTCTTCTTGAAAAAGTAAACTGGATGAAGGAAGGCAGGAAGAAGAAGATGGTTTCCATTTCATTCGTCTTTGCTTTGCAGCTCCAGGCAAAGACGAGAGGAGGAACGTTAGGTTGTATGACAGAATCTTGGTCGAGTACGTTTGTCTGTGTATCACAAACGTTACGTTGAAGGTTAGTTGCAGAAAAGTAGATCTGAGTAACCATGAAGACAGCAGGAGGTGAAGGACGGCCAAGAGGAAGTCAGGTGTTAGTATAAGCTTTGTTAGAAGTCAGAAATCTAGAGACAGCCTTGAAAAGGAGTCACTGAAGAGCTGAACAAGTTCCATTAGAGAGGACCTGAAAACATGTTGACAAACTGTTGCTAGAGAGGATGATGTTGAAGAGCAGTGAAGGTTGTCAGAGATGCGTAGTAGGGGACAGATTAGTAGCGCTGGCTGCAGCAGAACAGGAGACAGTGGACAGAGAAGACAGACCAGGCCTCCCTCTGCCTCAGTGTTAGTTGGAGTAGCACTGTGCAGCAGGTAGTGGTCTTACCCCGTTACTCTGGGTGGACTGGATGGACTGCTCGCTGGCAGACGAGCATGTGCTCATGCGGTCTGCCTCCTTGCTGTGTGTGGAGTGCCTGTGTGTTTGGCTACCAGATCCAGAGCCAGTCTGGATCTGGTTCGAATTCTGGCGTACTGGACTCTCTCCTACCTCCCCAGGGAAGGTGAACGAGCCAGGCCGGCTGGCTGGAGAGCCTGGCATAGAGTTCCAGAATCCGGATCCGGACTTCTGGCCGGGGCTGGGAGGGGGAGGAGGGAGGATGTCTTTGCTAAAGCTGGGAGTGGCCAGTGGGGAGGCGATAGGAGCCACGGCTCCAGGCCGTGGTTTTGAAGTGGGTGTTGATGGCAAGGGTCCAACTGTGGCACGGGGAATAGGGGCTACAACGCTGGCAGGAGTGGGAGTCTGTGCTTGCTCCTCGGGGGTCTGGCTAGGGCGCTTGCCCTGTTGGCTAACCCCTGGAGGGAGAAGGGGAGGAGGGACAAGACGAGGGGAAGAACCTGGACCATAAGCGAAGAAAACTTACACTTCAGTCACATCTGTCATTTTTGCCTCAGAAAACAAATTTCACAGAAACGTAAAGATGCTCATACCTGACATCTTGTTGGGGCCATCGGGGTCGGCCCCGGGGTGGTGGCGTAGGGGTTGGGGCAGGCGGGAAGGCTGGGGGATTCTGGAGGGCCGACGAGAGCCACCCTGGGGTCCTGAAGGGGTGGAACTACCCTGGGAGCTTCCAACTCCAGGAGGCGCACTAGACCCACTGGAACATCCACCTGGAGCTCCCATGTTGGGCACACACGAGCCACCACTGGCCCCTACATGGTTCCTCTGATACTCTATTGGTGAAGTCAGAGATGTGATGAGGTTCAAAAGAGACACGTACAAACATATATCCAACAATTAACATGTGTTAATAAGTGTTTGTCAGCGTACCATTGAGGAAGTTGCGTTGGCTCTCGAGTATCTGGCTGATCTGAAGGGTCCAGACCTCACGCACTCCTGCATGCGCGGAGTGAAGCACAAAAGACTCTACGGTGCCGTTGGTCGACCGAGACGTGAGAATGAACTTACAGGGATCGCTCTCCACATTGTCCTCAAGACCCAAACAGCTGACCTGCAGAGAAAAACAGAAACACGAGAGAAGTATGAAATGATTACTGAGATTTCATTGTGCTATTAAATATATTAGTGGCATTTCTCTTTCTGAATTGTCTGAATATGATATAGATTAGTATCTTATGGCTGATCTATACTACTGAGTAGGAACAATAACGTTATGAGCACTTCACCATAGGCAGACAAGGTAGGAGGAAATTTGCTGCTATCAGTATAAACTGGCAACAAGAGTTCACTACCTAGTGTTTGTGTGAGAAATCAGGGCCCTGAGTTTAACCCTGAAAAGACATGAACTCATGAGTCAGTTCTAACTAGACTTCATGCAGTCTATATTAAAACACCTTAATTAAATGTATTTCTTGGTCATTAGTTTAGTTCCCAAGCTCAGAATAAAACACACATACTGTCTGTCTTTGTAACACTGAGACCCTGCATGGAACATTATTCACTGTAAATAAAAGAAAAATTGTGAACCCCTATACTCGTAAGATGGATCTATGAATACTCATTGTGTGATTGGACAAGTTGTAATGCAGCTGAAAAGTCTAAGGCTTAAAATCAGGACTAAAATAAAACAATCAAGATTATTTTAATGTTACATAACATGAGAATTATTTTCTTATTATTTTATGCAAGTTTTTAAAACTTTGAATCATTTTCACATGCTGATTAAATCCTGAGTTTTTCCACAAGAGGGAGCAGTAAACTCTGAGAGCTTGGTGACTGAGTCCTACATCCTTAAGCCCAGTTCACACTACAGGACTTTAAGCTTGATTTGCCAGTCTGAGATGTGTTTTGCAAGTTGCTGACAAAAGCCCCCGATTAGCGCTAGATCAGCAGTCGCCAATCGCTATTACAGAGGCTCACAGACGCCTCGCGGACTCTGATCAGATTCCCAACCTGCCGGAAATCTCTGCAACAACTCCACCCAATCAGAACGAGATGACGATGCATGAAGTGGTGACGTGCCCACTGATGTTTCACACTCTAATGTCTGTAGTCTGATTTGCACATCAGAGAGCCATTACCTTAATGCTGTTCTTGTAGAGAAAGCCAGGCAAGGAGAAACCTTTCTTCTTGTCAAGGGGCTCACTGAAGATGACCAGCTGCTCAAAGAGGAAGACTCTCCTCTCCTTCATCCGGCCAATCAGACTCCCCTCTGGGTCAGAGACCATGAACGTGTCCTGCAGCAGAAGACGTCCCTGCGCTACGATCTTCCCCTGGAGACAGATGAGCAAGATGAAAAGATTAGATGCAGGATGCAGCAAATTAAGTCTGGGTTACTGCATGAAGGCTGTATTAGCGTGTAGCATTAATTTCTATCTCAATTTAATGTAATTTCTTACGTCAAATTCCTGAAGCCGTCCAACATTCATCATGTCATTACACTTCTTTGGCACAATGCACATGACCTCCACGGCTTTCTGTAAGACACAGAAACAACCAGAGGGTTGATGAGGTTCCTGAACATGATTTTTACTTGACTTTAATTATTTTAAAAGAGTTTCAAGATATTTCTCTTCTCTCACCTCCAGCTCCATAGACTCCAGTCCAGTCTTTTTAGAGTGTTTCAGAAAGTCCTACAACAGAAAAGAAAAGATGTGCACCTTAATATAAACTCGATAATTAACTTTTTTTGACATCCGTATAGACATTAGGTAGCTGATTTGTGAAATCTGGTTTGAATGAATGAAATTAGACACATTCCATTTGACTATATTTGATACTCCCACCGCACAAGTCAGATGAGGATGAATACTTGGCGTTGCTCAGCTCGTCTGTGGTGCCTCCTCTGCTGCCTCACTTGGGCGGAAATCTAACAGGTGAGCCCGCAGATTGCTGAGCAGTTATTGTTACACACTTACCTTGAGCAGCAGCTGGTACTTCATGATCCTCTGGACTGGCTTGATGAGCAGGTCTGTGATCTGCAGCCTGTGTCCCAGCCGCTGCTTCAGGTCCTACAGAGTCACAAGTTACTTCAGAGACTCAGCTGGATGGAAATGTGCAGCGTCTGGTAAAATGTTAACCATAATGAGCTCATACCTCAAAGTAGGTGTCGATGTACTCTGACACGATGTGCTCTGACTTGGGCTTGTTCTGACAGTACACCACGTACATGTTGAGTCTCCGTTCCTGGATATAAAGAGCGCAGGAAATTACAACAGGACCAAAAGTCTGTAAGTAAAGCAGAGGCTGGAATTTCACTGTGGACTGACCTGTTTGAGAAAGAGTGGTCCCAGTCTGTCAGGGTCCTCCAAACATTTCTCCAACTCCCCGAGGAAGAAACTGAGATAGACGGGGAGAGGAAAGAGAAGAGGTGAGCTTCTGTGTGAGTGACTGTGATCTGAGAAAGCTCTCTATCATCTGTACACTTGCACCACGTACTCTTTGTGCCAGTCGTAGATCTGGTGGATGTTGCCAAACACAATTTTGTCTTTCCCTTTCATATCATCAGGGACGCCCTCCTCCTTCATCCGACTCATGTAGCCCTTGTGACAGAGACACACATCATTACTCATTTCTTACAGAGAGCTACAGCACACACAGCACTCGAAAAGCAAAAAATATTCAGATATTGTGTAGGTAATTAGGCAGGTCCACTGTCTATAAAGCATCAGCTCACCTCCACCACCAGACCAAGGTCCCTGACATAATCTCTCTCTGTCTCCACCAAATCCAGCAGAATGTGACTGCAGCACAGACAGGGAAAAAAGAGATTGCACACTTTTACAAATGAAAACTCCCTAATCATCACTCTGCAATATGTAGGAGGAAGCAGACGTACTGTCTTTTCTTGAGGATGCTGGTCCTGCGTTCATCCATCTCTTCCATGGGGGAGGAGGAGGAGAGGAGGGAGTTGTCAGACGGGTTGAAGGAGGGCGAGCTGCTGTCTCCTTGTTCCACTGACAGAGAGCTGGGTCTGTCCTCCAGAGCCTGCACCAGGTACACAAATATTTCAGAGGTGAACCTTGGACCTAGGTGAATCTTTGTCCGAGCGAGGAGGCAAATAAAATGTTTGCTTTCTGGGGCAAAGCGAAAGTATTGTTAGAGGTCCAAGAAAGAGCAGTGTCAAATTTGGTGCGATTTGAACAAGTGATATGTTCAATTTTACTAAATTCTGAATAAAAAGGCAACCAGCATTGGCAGGGTTCGGTGGTCAGGTCTTTACTTGCTGTGGCTCAATTACTGCAGGTCACTAAAGTTTTTAAGCCTTTTTAAAGTTTATCTGCAGTGAGGCCTTCTGAATGCCACTAACTTGAGAAATTCAGGATGTCATGGGTGTTATCCTACCATCTTGCTTTTGACCAACTCCTCAATGGCGCTCACCAACTCAGCCGCACTGGGCGTCTCCGAACTGGACGGACGCACCGACAGACGAGAAGAGGTCTGAGACGAAAATGGAGAAATGAGACATTAGAGCTCAACAATCCATGCAGCACAACGACCTTTTCCCGCTAATGCTAATCCTGCTCTTTGACTCCTGTCAACACAACTTCTACAGAGAAAATGGTGGCGACAAAAGTTACCAGACTGTAGTTTAAAATAAATA